GCACAAAAGAACGAACAAAAAGGCCGTTTGGACGTGTTTGGTTTTGTGTTGAGGAATACACATTCGTCATAAGGAACTGAAGTACATAGTGATTGAAGAGAATGCGAGAAAAACTCCAACTTGATTGTGTAGTTAAGTGTTCTTTACTTTCACTTTGTAAGAGTCCTAATCTTTGAATGAGATGTTTTTTGCCAATGTTACTAGGCTATATTTTGATTTACAAGATTTTCTACTGGGAAACAATAGAGAGGTAATGGAGAAACATTAGCTGAAGATGTACGCTGTAGTAATTTAGGTTTTTTAAGCCTTGGGTTAAAATGACCCGACACAGATTATTACAAGTGGAAGGAAAATACCCAAAAAGAAGGGTCCAAATGACCCGGGGCAGGTCGAGTTAGGAAAAATCCTCAAAATTCTGCCAGTTTTTTTTATTTTTTTTATCACTGGGGCCAGAGAGAGAGACACCAAACATCAATTCCACCCAAGGACAACACAAGAGTTAAAGAAGTTGTAATAATACTTGTATAGTTTGTGCGTTTGTTCTGTATGGTTTCTAATAGTTTGGTTCGTTTTTATAAATTCACTTTATTTAGTCAACCAAAAATGTCGTGGATTTGTCGCTTACAGCCCAAGTTTCCACCTCGGGACACAAGCTTTGGTTAAAGGTAGATAGGAGGATGTTCTGCTTTCGGGTGGATCATTAATACTATTGGTCCTGCTAATTGTCAATCATTCTGGTGGTACGTGCTCGTCCAATCAGACCAGAGAGTTTTTGTTTGAACATGTTTTGAAAATCCTCCTTTATACGTCAGAAACAGGAAGTCCAAAAGAGTGGTGTAGAGATAGGGGGAGGAGCTCGGTCACAAGGGAGGAGCTTGGAGTAGATTTGCTGCTCCTTTGGGCATGTTTTATTTCTGGTGTCTCCTGAGCGCCTCCCTGGATGCTCAAAGGCCAACCGCGGTACTGCAGCCTACATTCTCACGCACAAGACACGAAATGTATTAATGTCAATTTTCACAAAGCTTGAATTAAGAGAGGATTTTAGACTTTATCATGAAATAATTATCTGTTTTAAGACTGGTCTATGATTTTCTGTAAATTGCATAGACCGAATATTAGCAGTGGACTGACAATGTGTGACATCACCTTCGGTTTAGACTTGATGCAGAAGAAGCTGGTTTGAACATAAGCTAGCTGGAGAAAATGTCCTTATAGGAGCATTTGTTCTGACGGCATTAGCTTTGCGCCGTAACAGAGGCAGACATGTTGCTAATACTGTTGCTAAGGCTAGCTGGAGTTTTCCTCGTGAATGAAGGCATCTGATTGGTCAATCCTTATGTGGCTCACATCTGGATTTATACAGACAATATCAGAATATAAACACCAGGATGAAAGAGTTCTAAAGCATGGATTTTTTAAAAGACAAAATAGCCAAAAACTCATTAGGAGCCAGAGCAAGTTGGAGCAAAAAGTCATTGAGCTAGCAGGTTAGCATTGTCCAATATACAGTCTATGGTCCATCCAGACTTTTCTACAGCAAACTTATTCTGATCCATCTCAAACCAATTACCACATGTTACTCACGGCACCACACGTGTTTGGAGTGGACCAGAACGAGCTAAAATGCTAGGTTTCTGCCAATTTATTTACTGGAATGGGCTGCCATATTGGAAACACTGTGCTCTCTGCTCAGACTGCCTCTTCAGCCACCTGGCAACGGATAAACTGGAAGAACTTGTATGGATGACCTCGATACATGTACCAGCATCTGTGCATCCCAACACTCTCACAATCACCAAATTTTATTTTTAAAACTTGGGACGGAGTTTTGCCCGAATTAGCATTTCTCAACACAAGAACCGCTTGGAACAATGACCTCCAGACTTGGGAATGCTCTGATCAACACATAAACAAACCACGTAAACATATTTAATGATCGTATCCAGCTGAAAAAGAAGCAAAGAATGATATAAAAAAATAGATTTATACGCACAAAACAAACGAGTTCCCTTTAATGTTTCCCTGAGAACTGTTTCGTAACGGTGACAAATGGAACGCAGCTACAGACACGCTTTCAAATATTCATGTGGGCCGTAATAATGTGGGAATTGAAAATAAGCAGAGTTGTGGACAAGAATAAGCACGAAGCTATTAACGAGAACGACGGAAATCATTTAAAATTGTGTTTGGAGAAACAATTATGTTTCTTGTACGTGGGCAATTTTGTATGAACAGGAGAAAGAAGGAGGCCAGAGGGTCCGAGTGGCTGTTCTGAACCAACCATGCATTTCCACTTCTCTGGTGAACTTGTTTAAAGCTGGGGTACTTCACTTTTTGGGTATTTAATAATTTATCTTTTTGCCAAATGGTCTTTGTCGATGCAATGTACATAGACAATGGTGGTGTCTGTCTCTGGTCTCTCTCTCTCTGGCCTCTCACTGGTCTCTTCCTCTCTCTGGCCTCTCCCTCTCTCTCTGGCCTCTCTCTGGTCTCTCCCTCTCTCTCTGGCCTCTCTCTGGTCTCTCCCTCTCTCTCTGGCCTCTCACGGGTCTCTTCCTCTCTCTGGTCTCTCCCTCTCTCTCTGGCCTCTCTCTGGTCTCTTCCTCTCTCTCTGGCCTCTCACGGGTCTCTTCCTCTCTCTCTGGCCTCTCCCTCTCTCTCTGGCCTCTCCCTCTGGCCTCTCACGGGTCTCTCCCTCTCTCTCTGGCCTCTCACGGGTCTCTTCCTCTCTCTGGCCTCTCCCTCTCTCTCTGGCCTCTCTCTGGCCTCTCCCTCTCTCTCTGGCCTCTCACTGGTCTCTCTTTCTCTCTCTGGCCCCTAACTGGTCTCTCTCTGATCTCTCCCACTCTGGCCTCAAACTGGTCTCTCCCACTCTGGGCAATAACTGTTCTCTCTCTCTGGCCACTAACTGCTCTCTCTCTCTCTGGCCACTAACCGCTCTCTCTCTGGTTTCTCTTTCTCAGGTCTCCCTGGGCTCGCTCTCTCAAGTCTCTCTGGTTTCTCTCTTACATATAAAACAAGTTTTTATAGCTTCAAAGTGTTGACATTTGGTTTTCTAGATTCAGGCTTGTGGCGACTAATGTAAATAGTTTTACAAAAATGAAATGTTCCGTCCGTGTTAGTAACTCAACCTCAATTCTCTCTCATTTCTGTTCTGTTCAATTGTGTATTTTATGTTGATAAAATAATTTGGGAAATGGAACACAACATGTCAGGACAATATTCTCATTTATTAAGGTGCGAGTAACCTTAGCGGTAACCATGGCGACCAACCCTCACTTTGGATCTCACAAAACAGCCTTAATAAAGAACCCAGGGAATCATTTAAAACATGGGACTGTGTTCAGAGCCGAAATGTCAGGCGTAATGTGCACTAATGTTGGCCTTTTATATATTTATCCAAGTCTCACTTCAGGGAAAATCAAATGGCACCAGTTCTCACCATTATAATTATTATTATTATTGTTATTATCTTGTTTGACAGAAGACAAAGCAGCTACTTCCTGCTTTAGTGACAAATCATCTGTGGCTTATTCTTATGTCTTTTATTCAATATTGAAATGGATAAACACACAGGCTCTGCTCAGATCAAGCTTACGTTTAGCAGCAAAAATAACAGCTCAATTATTGTTTATCTGATTTTGAAACTAAATTAAAACTAGTGTACGGTGATCAGGGGTCATGTCCACTTCTAGACATCTGAAATCCAGAGAAAGAAGGGAGAAATACCAGAGAACAGAGAGAGACAAGGAGAGAGATATCAGAGACCAGAGAGAGACAAGATAGATCTGAGAGACCAGAGAGAGACCAGAGATCAGAGAGAGAGACCAGAGATAGACTACTAGAGAAAGAAAGAGACCAGAGAGAGACTATAGGCTCTGTTATGTTGCATGAAAACAACACAATTGTTTATTGTTCATGTATCTTGTGCTGTGTGCTCCTCATTCCTACTGTTCTGAAACCGCTGATGCAACACTGACATTTCCCACGGTGCGACAAATAAAGGATTCATTGTACCTGCACTTCCCCGTGTCGTCTATCTCTGCTATCCCTTCCTTCACCACAGGGGGAGCTCTTGACAACATAAGAATAACATACACTGTACATAGACAGTGGTGGTTTCAATTGAGTTTTCACAGTTTCAACGTTTTGGACGACGCCAATTTGGTTTTCTAGATTCAGGCATAGCTTTTTCAGCTTTCGGGGAAAAATTGATACAAAAATTACCAACAGTACTGAAATGTACTGTATGGTTTTACAAACATTGGCTGAAAAATCCACAAAAAAGTTGTGGGTTAGACCAGAGAGAGAGAGAACAGGGAGAGATCAGAGAGATGGAGGCCGGAGAGAGAAAGAGACGAGAGAGAGACGAGAGAGAGAGCACAGAGAGATCAGAAAGAGATCAGAGAAAGAGACCAGAGAGATCGAGGCTGGAGATAGAGAGAGACCAGAGAGAGAGACGACAGAGACAAGAGAGAGAGGAGAAAAATCAGAGAGAGACAAGAGAAATATCTGAAAGAAAGACCAGAGAGAGAGAGACAAGAGAAAGACCAGAGAGAGAGACTAGAGAGAAATCAGAAAGAGTTTTGTACTGTGGACAAAACCATTTTCAGTCCCTCAAACCAGTGCTCGGTAACTTGATGTTTTATGATTGTAAAAGTAAAGACCCTCTCATTCCCCCGCATTAACCAACATTAATAATAATTAGGACAAAAAGGACAAAGCCCACCCCCAACTCCAGTCTCTTGCGAGGGACACCCCTGAATTTCCCGGGGTTTGGAATATTGCATAGATAACAGTACTGATGTCGTATGCGGTCACAGTGTCGAGGGCCACCCCCCGTTTTGCCCATTTCAGACCCCCAAAGTCTCCAATGGTGCTCTGTCTGGTTTTTTTGTTGTCAATCTTAAATCATTGTATAAAAAAATAGCCTTTCGCTGAGGTCAAGTCTTTTTCTCCAGAGTTCACAGTGCAATGATGGCCAGCAGGGGGCGAGGCGGTCAGAGCTCGTCCTTCCTCTTGCCGACCTTCTCCTGGTCGCGACCGCGGAGGCTGCGCATGAAGCCGATGAAGCCCGACTCCTGCAAGATATGCAGAAGGAAAGGTATAAAAACAAATGATGGTGAATGAAAATGTAGCTTTCATGAGTAATACGTGTTTGTCTCAATGGATAGAAGTGTGAAAGTGGAATGTTGTGGAAGAATCGGAGTGAAATCCCACCGTATGTCGTCGAGGATGCACCGATATGATACAGGCAAAGGACATTAGATTAAGATTAAGATTACTATGTCAGTGTGGCATCACCAGTTTGAGTAGAACAGAGAGAGAGACCAGAAATGGAGGCCCGGAGAGAGAGAGACAGGTCAGAGAGAAAGAGAGACCAGAGACAAGAGTGAGAAACCAGAGAGAGACAGGTCAGAGAGAAAGAGAGACCAGAGACAAGAGTCAGAGACAAGAGTGAAAAACTAGAGAGAGAAAGAGAGACAAGAGTGAGAAACCAGAGAGAGACAGGTCAGAGAGAAAGAGAGACCAGAGACAAGAGAGAGAAACCAGAGAGAGACAGGTCAGAGAGAAAGAGAGACCAGAGACAAGAGTGAGAAACCAGAGAGAGACAGGTCAGAGAGAAAGAGAGACCAGAGACAAGAGTGAGAAACCAGAGAGAGACAGGTCAGAGAGAAAGAGAGACCAGAGACAAGAGTGAGAAACCAGAGAGAGACAGGTCAGAGAGAAAGAGAGGTCAGAGACAAGAGTCAGAGACTAGAGTGAGAAACCAGAGAGAGAGAAAGAGAGACAAGAGAGAGAAAGAGAGACAAGAGTGAGAAACCAGAGATAGAGAAAGAGAGACAAGAGTGAGAAACCAGAGAGAGAAAGAGAGAGAAAGAGAAAGAGAAAGGGAAAAAAAGAAAGAAAGAAAGAGAGAGAGAGAGAGAGAGAGAGAGAAAGAGACCAGAAGCAGATCAGAGAACTAGAGAGAGAGAGACCAAAGACAGAACAGAGAGAGACCAGATAGAGACAAGAGAGACAGACAAGAGAGAGAGACCAAAGACAGAACAGAGAGAGACCAGATAGAGACAAGAGAGACAGACAAGAGAGAGAGACCCGAGAAAGGCCAGAGACAGAACAGGGAGAGACCAGGGAGAGACCAAAGAGAGACCAGAGACAGACCAGAGACGGACCAGAGACGGACCAGAGACAGACAAGAGTGACTGACATTTCCCCACCATTGGACAAACAAACTGTCTCATATCTCATCTTTCACTCGACACCTCTCGTGGCCCCCACATTGAGAACCACAGGAGGAGAGTATTCAGAGTATTGTGAGAGTATTGTGAGAGTATTTTGCGAGATGAGAGATGCGTACGTACCCCTCGGTCCCCGTTGTAGCGCTCGTTGAACTTGCCGTAGTTGTAGTAGTTGAAGGTGGGGTAGCCCTCCACCCCCTCCTGCTTACACAGCTCATGGTTCTGTCCTTTGGTGCAGTCCACAGCCGCGTACGCAATCTGACACACACAAACACACACTTTCAACACAATTATCCACACACTCGCTACGTACCAATTCAAAACAGACCAAGAAGGCAGAGGTTCACCGACATGTCTGCAGAGGTACATTAGTCCTGCGTTCTCTTATGGATGACAGGTCGATTCCTTGGGACAAAATACTTTAAATACATTCTTTAAACTATTTTGTATTTTACTTTCTGCTTTGTCTTATGTTTTGTCTTTCGTCTTGCGTTTCCTCCGTCGTCCTGTATCCATCGTTAATTATTTTGACTATTGTTATGATTGTTTTTATTGATTATTATGCTGACTGTGTAGCGCTTTGTAAACATTATTTAGAAAAGTGCTATACCATTTTTTTATCATTCATATTTTGCGTGATTGGGACCTTTAGACTTTTTAGATTTAGAATTTAGACCTTGAAATAACACGCGCTTAAGTTATAGATTATTACGTGGCTTTAAGACCATCCCATCATTGTCGGCATCACAGAAATGGCACCTGCTGATTATCAAAAAAGGCAATCAACAAAACATTAAACCAGTCCGCAAAAATAAGAACGCATCAGTAATGAAGAAGCAGACGATTAATGGACTTAAAACAGCACAGAACTCATGACATCACATACAGGTCCAATCAATCTGGGGTTTTAATGGCGGGTTGAGCTAAGCAGGGCAGGGCCTGGTTAGTGCTGTGATGGGAGACCTCAGGGAAGACCAGGTGAGACATTGGGGCGGCTGCGGATGTAGAGTGTTGCGCTATTGTTGTGTCCCTGGGCAAGACGCTTTACCCACATATATTAGAATGAGTCTGGTGCGAGTGTGTGAAGGATTGGTGGTGGGTGGAAGAGCCGATGGCAAAGATCAATAGCCTTCACTTCTGTCAGTCTTGCCCCGAGGCAGCTGTGGCTACAGACAGACAGGGCTCTATTATATTGCCTTGCATGATCTTAAAGATATGGAAGCCCGTTTCCGCCATGTAAAAAAAAAAAAAAAGCCTACAGAAAGTCAAAATTTCGACTTTAAAAGTCAAAATTTCGACTTTAAAAGTCAAAATTATGAGTTTTCAACTGCGCATGTGCAGTTGAAAACTCGTGTGTGTTGTTGTCTGGAACGGTCTCTGGACGTCCTTCACCTGCAAATTATGTGAAGATATTGCTGACAGCGACCACTGCATCCTTGAAGTAGCCAGAAATAATGTTGTTTGATTGATTCTGTAAAACGTTCCTGTTTAAGCCCCAGACCGCGGTCGTAGGAGGCAGGGAGGAGCTGTCTTTTTATTTATTTATGTTAAATTCAATTTACATATATACAGCATTTAAATCAAACGACTTCTTATTTCGACATAGTAACAAATAATGTGAGCAATACGTTTTTATAATAAATCAAAGGAAAATGAGCCATCGAGACATTCCAATCCAATCTGCTATAGACCACTCTGACCAGACGATGGCGCTGAGAGGGGTCCACACGGAGCGAGTATTTCCACGGCTGAAAGGATGCGCTTTCTACGTGTTGAGTACGGGGTTTTATTCATGCATCTATAATGGGTTTATCTATTTCTAACCCTTTTCAAAGACCCTCACTGTTATCTGCGGAGTTATTTCTCCGGATTGTTGCTAAAAGAGTCGTGGGCTTTATTTTGTCACAATAAAATAATCAGACAAGGTACTTATTCCCTGTATGTCTCTGTGTTCTTGCTCATACAGTACGCCAACAACTTTACCCGCACGCTCCATCAGCTCACCCCCGCATGCACGCAAACACGTCACATACTCTTCAATGCACTGATCGCAATTCCAAAAGGGTATTATTGTCAGTGCCCGTGACTGTGGTTCTCCTGCCTCTGTCTGTGGTTCTCCTGCCTCTGTCTGCGGACCTCCCTCACTGTCCTGTAATCGCGAACGGTCTCTCTGTCAGTCACAATATTATTCACTGCATTTCTGGTGCATCCATCGATAGCCGTGATACTGACCAGATGTCACCAGTTGATGCTCAATGACTTTGAACAGCCACATGTGTTTTATTATTAATCTTCCACAGTCCGTTTAGGATAAACTAAATAGAGGCTTCTGAAGCGGATTCTAATCATAAACGGAGAGACCGTTTGCATTTTAACGCGATTACTACCACAACATTATTGCTGCTACTTCATGGATGTGGTCACTGTCTGTAGGAAAAATCTTCACATAATCTGCAGGTAGAGGATGACCCATGGTCATAGATCTATAACAGGGATGACCAGAGACCGTTCCAGACAGCAACACATACGAGTTTTCAACTGCACATGCGCAGTTGAAAACTCGTAATTTTGACTTTTAAAAGTCGAAATTTTGACTTTTAAAGTCAAAATTTTGACTTTTAAAGTCGAAATTTTGACTTTTAAAGTCGAAATTTTGACTTTTAAAAGTCGAAATTTTGACTTTTAAAGTCAAAATTTTGACTTTCTGTAGGCTTTTTTTTTTTTTTTTACATGGAAACGGAAACGGGCTTCCATATAAAGACCTTATGACGGGTTTAAAAAAAAAAAATAGTGGATATCAAAATTGCATGACAATGTCAATTTGAAAGAGATTCCGGCAAAAAAAATCCTATATTTTATAAAAAGAACGTGTTTTTCATGAATTTAAGTTGTCTATGCTCTAACCTGTGTGTGACGTCATAGCGGGTTACGCCCATGCATTGAAAACCATGGATCTATGCCACAGGACTGCCTTTTCGCTCCTCTCTCCACTGATGCCCAACACAATACTGCACTCTACAGGTGACAATTGCTCACTACACATAAGTTGCCGTTTTGAGTGTGAAAAAGAGTCTGAGGTGGGATTTGAACCCCAGTATCTGGATTGGCAGTCCATCTCAGTGACAACGAAATGTAACATTCTAGTAGTTATCTTAGACTCGCTGTACACGGCCTTGTCATCTTGAATATCCGCGAAAAAAGAACGAATACCAAATTGTAAACAACTTACAGCGTTGAAAGGTACCCGTTCTGACGTCACTAAGGGCTGTGAAGTTTTTTCGTTTCTAAGGGCGTTGCTATGGGGTTATTTCGATTTGGGGGGATCAGACAAAAAAAACAACAACTGATTTTGAAACCTTTAGTAGTTCTCTTCTAATATAAAATGGTATTAAAACTGTATTTCTAAATAAATCAAACCCGTCATAAGGTCTTTAAAGTTGTTTTGTTAAGCACTTTGAGTTGCCTTGTGTATGAACTGTTCAATATAAATCAACTTTCCTCTCCTTGCCTCTTTCCTTGCTGATAAAGAGTTGTGTGTTGTAGAAAGTGACAGTTTTAAATAAGTACTTCCATCTTTTCGTGGCCTGAAAACTACGCCGCCCAGCTTCAAAGTCCCTGCAGCCCGTAAAGCCTCGGTCGCAGCCTTCACTTTGAGTCCCGCCGCATGTGTTCCTCTGATAACTTTTATTTGAAGTTGTTTATCGCCATCGCAGTCTCATTCCCTTCTCGGCTTTTGTTACGAGGCAAACTCACACCTGCTCTTTTTAACGGGAGCCTTTATGGACCTTGTATTTTCAGCACAAATAAACTTTGTGGATCGATTGGACAGAGAAAACAACAGGATATGAATGTGCTGGCTGTTAATCAGGTGTAAAAACATGGAGCAGGGCTTATGGGAGTTACATCACGGCGGACTCAGCACTTTCTGACGAGGGAGTCGAGGAAATGAGGAGAAACTGGACTGAGAAATGTACAGAAATCTCTTCATCAAAAAGTCAAACGGTGGTGTAGCATTTTATCTAACTTGGGATTCTGATGAGGAATGCTTTCACTGACTTCAATTGTGTGGTATTTAGTCTTGAATAGAAACAGAAGGCCACTAATGCTATAATGTTATAATAATAATAATAATGCATTCGTTTTATATAAGGCTTTTTTGGACACTCAAAGACGCTGTCATTATTTTACTCCATACATAGTGGTGATAAACTACTGCTATAGCCACAGCTGCCCTGGGGCACACTGACAGAAGCGAGGCAACCAGTCTGTGCCATCGGCCTCTATGACCACCACCATCCATCTCCCATCATAGTACTAACCAGGCCCTGTCCTGCTTATCTACAGGGGCGTGACAGGATCTGACTTTTGCATGCAAGTATGGCCTTTATGATCTAGAGAAGACCTGGGCAAAAAGCGGCCAGGGGGCTACACACGGCCCAATTTACGTTGCAATGTGGCCCTCAGACTTTTTCCCATCCGCAAACATGAAACTTTCTCAACCAATTTAAATGAATCAATACCAGAGTGTTACGATGGCAGGTTATACCTCATAATAACTCAATCAAAACATTTATCTGTACACAATATTTTGCCTTTAGCTTTAGACAGACTTTGGTTCAATCCAAGCAACAAATGGAATCTACAGTAGGTCCCATTTCGTTTTGTTGCCTTTCACGCGTGAATCACACGAGACTCACGTGTGATTCACGCGTCTTTTATTTATTTTTTCCCCAGTGATGCTGCAATGACCCAAACAACCACCAGATGGCACTTGTGAGCAGGGTTAGGAAAATTGGCTTCTCATCGGTCTTTGTTCTCTGTTCACCAGACAACTTTCTGTGACGTTATAGCTCAATGATAAGGACGTGGACTCTGGTGCGAGAGGACCCGGGTTCAAGTACAGGCTATGACACTTTTGATTTTGTTGACGTTTACATGTTTTCTAAAACATACTTAGTAATTAGGCCAACACATTTAAAATAGTTGCTAGACTGTAGTAAACTTCACAATCTGCACCAACCAAACTGCAGGAAAAAAATGCAACTTTATTCAGTAACGGAGTAATCTGATACATATACTCCCCCCGCTAATAAAAAATTGAGGATTTGCCGGGGCTCGAACCCCGACCGTCCAAGCGAAAGTCTTGGACAATCCCGCTACACCACACAGGCACTGGAGAAAACCCAGGATCTAATACGAAAGAGCGCTGAGTAAATGAGCCGTGCGGATGTGCGGGACGCTTAAAATGCCTTATATGC